CCATCTTTACTTCCTTTCATGCACTAAAGATGGGTATTTCAAATTTCAGATTTTTTGGTTGATTGTTTTACCATTAAAAAACTTGCATGTATGTGAAATTTGTATCGTGATTTTTTTCATGTTATAACAAAACCGAGCTGGGCTTCCATTTCTCTGTTATGTGGCTGCTGAATGAATGATTAATATCTGTTTGAAAATGAAAATTCAGGACCCACTGTCCAAGAACTGAAAACCTAAAAAGCTAATGAGAAATGAAAACAGTCTATTTAAAATAGGCTTACTAAATTTCTTACAGTGTATAGACTACAGTATGTGCCATGAAGTCCAGAATCCTCGACAGCATAGATTGGTTGGTCTTCCAAGGCAATCAATTGCATTAATTTTTGGTTACAATTTTAGTTGCACTTTGGCTGTTGTACTGTCGTATGTGAATTTTTCCAGCATTTTAAAACTCTGGCTGCAGATGGCTTTGGTGTGCTAGCAAGGACTTTCCTTTCTTTTGCTTCTGTTGTATTGCTGTGTTCTGTATATCAAGTGGGATGTTGTGTTTTCAAGTGGTTTCAAACCTGTAATAAAGAAATTCTTGGGCATTGTACCTCCTTTTGTTATTCGAACAGAGATTACAAATCACTTTTCTGATGTTCCTTGTACAAGCCATTAAATAGTTCCACACAGGCATTTTTGTTGTTGATCTGCTGCCACTCAAACTGTTTGAATGCGGGAAAGGGAAAAAACATTGTTTTTAATCACTATTTCTCATTTTCTTTATCTTCAAAATTATTTGTTACAATAAGCTGTAAATTTAACAGTTCGTTGTAGGCTGTGCCCTGCGCCCGTCCCGTGGGCCCTGTTGATGGCCGCAAGCGACAGTGGGAGGAGGACGTCAGCCGCAAGTGAGCGCAGGAGGGGGACAAGCAGCATTAAAAGAGTGTGGAGCTCGTCCCTCTCCTCCTCTGTTCCCTCTCAGCTCTTTTTAAAGTCTCTCATGCTGCTGCTGACAGATCAGCGTCAGCTGGCTCTCATTAAAGGCAGGGTGAGCACCTGAGCCGAGAGGGACATAGAGTTGTTGTCCCCCCTCTCCGTCACTGCCCTAGCTCCCCAGATCAGCTGCCAGGATCGAATGTGAGGTGCAGTCCAGCGGCCTTGTTATTGTTTAACAAGCTAAATGCTTGCTAGTTACCTGCTTCTTTGCACAAAGTAACAACAATCAGCTTTTTCAGAGCAAGACATATTCTGGGGTTCCTCACATCCAGTTGTGGACGACTGGTGTCCCTCATGGTTTAGTGATTTTTCTTTTTTAAACGCACCTAATTCACCTTATCCGTTTCTCGGTTTTGTAGATATGCTCGAGCCAGGAAATTACTAAAGTGTGCTGGACATTGCCCCCCAGGACCAGATTTGAAGAACCCATGATCTGGTTCCTGGATTCCAAAAGGTTTGTCAAGTTCCGCCATCCTGACTTAAAAACGAGTTTTTCCCAGAAGCCACAAGTTGGTCTCCTACAGTTGCTGTTCTCCTTCTCATTCACCACTCGGTCTGCTGTGCATGTTTTGACAACTGCCCTACACATCAGAAGCAGCGGCCTATGATTAGTCATATTGGATGTCAGTACAGTGGCCTTTTCCTGTCAAAACATGCAGTTCTTGGCCATGTTGAGCATCGAAACCTACCTTACTCTATAGCTGTAAGAGGATGTAATCTAGCAATACTGCTAGAATAAGATGGAGGTGAGATATTGGAGATGGAGATGAGGTATTGAAAGCATTGGTCTCAGGCAGCGCAAAATTTATTTGTGAAGTTGGAGGAGTGTTTTGCTAGGCAACTATGTAGTTATGTAATAAGTTCCTGTTGATTAATTTCTTGTGCTTATCCCTGTTACATGCATTAAAATTTTCAGTTGTTTTTGGATGTTCTGATAAAGGCCGGATGTTCTTTAAACGTTTAGCATAATACTAGTTTAAAACCCATTATTTTAAATGTCCATTTACAATGGACAGTGTAGTATTTTAAATGCCCATGAGCTCAGAACGTCCTTGGTTTACTTTAAGGCTCTATGATGAGAACAAGTGAACCAGTGTGCAAAAGGTCATGGGTAATGTGAGTGCAGAAAGTACATTCTGTGGGGCTGCACTATCATCACACTGCTGTGTGTCATGGCTCCCAATCAGAGGCCATTGTTCTCAACCACTCCACTTCACACCAGGAATGCTGAAATGGCATAAGACAGTAAATCAAGAGACATGTAAATCTCTCTCTCTCTCTCTCTCTCTCTTAATATTTCAGCTGCTCTCCAGAAACATTCAAGGCTGGGAGAGAATGTGTACGAACATAGTGAACATAGCAAATTCATTGATAAAGGAAGACAAAATGCACAGTTTCAATCACTGAAATAATTATTTCAGACCCCACAGTACAAAATTCCTGCCTTAAAATCCCTTTCTCACTGTATCGATTGCTTAGCCATCTTTTTACCTGTTTGCCAATAGGATCCTATGCATATTTTTTGGCTTTGTGTGCTTGCTACCAATTGCAGTATACTTGAAATCAAGCAAATCAGCCCTCATATTGTGTAATTTTCTGAGGCAACCTATGCTATCAGAAGTTAGTGAGGAATTGATTTTTCTAAATGAGTGATTGAGCAATCTGTGAAATGATTAAATAAACAGCATGACCTCATGCTACTGTGACTTGTTCTGGATGCCAACTATTAATTGAAATAATTAAATGTCCTGTCAGCTAACTGTAAATATAGAGCAGTGTTCATTAACATGTGTTGCCATAAACTGGGATGACAGGCTTGTCGTTCAAGAGCATGTTGGTTGTGAATGCAAGGCTAGGCCATACCATTTCTGAAAGACTGATGTTGTGTTGATACTGTAGTGTTTTTGCCTTTGAAGGCTAAACTAGAATGCAGCCTGTGACAGATCTCTACGCTCTCTAGTCACTAATCCATTGACTTGGGAGTCTTAGGGCTCTCCATACATTAATAACGTGGCATGTTAAGGCTCTTCTGATATATGGATATATACATTCACATCTGTACACATCCAAATCCATTTCCATAGTAACTATCAGTAGTTAATGGCGCTATCTTGAATCTGAGTAATGCTTTGTGTCAATGACAGTTGAAGCCTATTGCACTGTTTCAGGACTTTTCTGTGTATTGACAAGATTTGGCAACAATCCCTAATTAGTGTCAGGCCAGTATAAACAGATAGACAAGTGAGTCACTATGTGTATTTGGTGTGTGTGGTCATTACTGGAAGGGAACGGCAGTAGATTTATGTGTAGTACATGATAAAAAGGCCATTTCGCACTGGGTTTATTTTTAGCTGGTGGAATGAGAATTAATGTATGGCCTATGGGATGAAGCCTTTCACTAAAGCCATACTGGGAGTTATATGATGGTTTTATATTCATGCACATTAGTTTACACACACAAGAAGTACAGTAGCTAAAAGTGGTTTACTCAGTTGGGGAAGATCTGTGCAGGTGGTATTGCTTATCCAAATCAGGACCCGAACTGCCTCTTGATATCCAAAGAATACAGTTGTATTACTGAGTAGGTTAGAAGTTCAGCAGTCTTGATTTCACACAGTTTTTGTCTGAACTCTGTTGCGTCACTGTGCTGAAATCAGTCTTCCCTTTAACCGGCACAAACCCCATGGTGCAACATGGCATTTTGGACTGCAAAGCTCCAAAAGGTTAAAACAGTTTTGTTTTAAAGGTTGTTTTTTTCTTTTTGTTGTTTGTGTCTTTGACTAAAGCTTGAATTCAGTTCTATGTCTAAAATCACAAAAGTATGTAACTATTAAGTAATTACTTGCTTAATTCAGTAGTCATTTTTACCAGCTGTGAAGTGCGTGGGAAACTTTTTTCCTAACTGGCTTCCATGTCAAGAATTGCATCAAAATTAACCATAATTGAGCCCCTCCAACAAAAAAACACATATTAACCATTACACCCAGGATTTTTCCTGTTTTATTTTGTACAACGTTTTACATTAAAAATCTAGACTATGCTTTATTTATGTTTCAGTGCATCAAACAATACCATATCAATGCTTATATGATTTTTACAAAAAATCACAAATAATATTTTTTGTTGTAAGGGCTCAGTTAAAACAGTATTTATTTACAAAGAAAAAAGGCCAACATTAAGTGACAACATTAAGTAAGTCCTTCTAAGGCAGTGTATGAACACAGTTACACATTTCAAAATAGTCAAAGCTCCTGCTAGAACATAGCGTTGTTAGCCTGGTGTTTTCCACACCAGATCCAGGGTTTACTGAGGAAACTACGGTGGCTAGAATTGAGTCTAAAGGTCAGGCTGGTGTAGATGTGACTCTAAGTGGGTATTGGATTATCTGAAATGATTTTCCTCTCTCCAGCTAAGACTGTTTGCAGGATCAGGGCAAATCTGTGGCTGATTCTATCTTTAGACCACGGCTTGCGTGGAGGAGATGCTGTTCGACTCCTGTGTGGCTTTCGTTTCTCTCTCTCTCTCTCTCTTATTTACTGCAAAGCTCACCATTGCTTGATGCCTTCCTTAACAGCCAAACAGCGAAGCAGTAGGGAAAAAACAAGAGCAGTGCTGATGTTCGGAATTGAGCAGCATGTGGAAAGTGGAGAGAGGGAGGGAGAATGAGAGAGAGAGAGCGGGAAACGAGGGAGAAAAAGAGCTGAATCAATGCCTCCAGTGTAATAAAAAGCTCTCTCAGAGCCGTACAGTATCCAAAGCCCCAGAAGCCTTACAATTCCTTCATTTTAAAGCATTAAATTTTCTCTGAGTGCTGCATTATACATTAATGTCGCTTCAGTAAACCTTTTTTCCCCTTTCTACCCTCGCTCTCTCGACCACTCTCTCTCTTTCCCTCTCTACTCTGCCCCCCTCCTCCCTCTCTCCGGTCCCTCCCAGTCCCCCCCCCTTACATACACACACTTGCTGCCTCCCTCTCGCCTCACTCTCTCTCTTGCCTGCTCGCTCGCCAGTCCAACATGTTGCCTGCGCGATGCTGCGCTCCAAAGTGGAAAGCGTCCTGCCGGCGTCCCGGCAGAGCTGCGGCCCCGCCGCCCGAGCCGCCACACTGCATCTGAAAGAGCTCCAAGAGGAGGAGGAGGAGAACCAGTCCAAGGCTACATCACCTGCTGTCTCCATGTGGAGGGGGGCCATGCGCGGGAGGCGCTACCTGCTGGAGCGGGGCAACCGACCCGGGACGGGTGGAGGGGCTGGAGGGGGTGGCCGAAGGCAAAGGTCACCCGACTGGCTGTACGAGTCATACTGCCGCATGAGCCAGCAGCACCCGCTCATCGTCTTTCTGCTGCTGATCGTGATGGGCGCCTGCCTGGCGCTGCTGGCCGTGTTCTTCGCCTCAGGGCTGGTGAGTACAGGGGAGACGGTGAAGGGCGCTGGAGGGAATGGGGCAGCACCAGTGTCCTGGGCAAAGTAGGTGAAATCATGTGCTGTTGAGTGGTTTCACTGAGGAAACAGCTTGGCCGAGAAAGTTAGGCTCCTGTTTTGCCTTGATTCTGATTCGCTGTCTCTTTTTGATTTCTGATTCTCCTCCCTCTCTCCCCATGTCTCTTGCTGTCTGAGACTCTCTCTGAGACAGGTACAGTTTCCCCGCTGTCTGCAGCTGATGCTGCCCGTCTTTTGTGTCGCTTTGGATGATAGCCAGCACATTTTCAGATCGCTCAGTGAAGATAACAAGGGGGTGGGGGGTGGAAACAAAAGCTTTGGGAAATCAGCACTGTTTACACTCTAGCCACATGCCTTTGTTTATTTTATGGAGCATTTCATCTTTGCTTTTAAAGTCTTTTCCACTCGATTCACGCTGAGAGCCATAAAGATCCTACGAGGCTGGAGAATGAGCATATCTGGAAAATCAACAGGCTTAGTCATGGCTAATTATGCTGAACGAATCGAGCAGAAACTATTAACCTGTCAATGATAAGACACTTCCATTTAATCCCATCCTCTGCCTGGCTTGGCTGAAGGTAGAAAAAAAGCCTTCCCTCTGAGCTCAAGCCTTATTTTTCAGTGTTGCAGTGACATACCATTCAGGTTTTAATTTGGTTTGCATAATGCAGTGGTTGTAGTAAGTGATCAAAGTCAACATGAGTGAAATAAGATTGCTGAGTATTATTATTATTATTTCATTAGTGTGTGATTTTCTTAGCTTTGTTTTATTGATGTTGAGAACATACTGTTAACATTAATGACTCGTTCAGGGTTAGATGCAAAAAACAAATTTCCAAATGCTCTAAAAAGGGTAGAATAAAATTCATCCAACACACATACTGTGTTTCTGATATGTTTCCAAATCTTCATGTTGTGCCTGTAATCATGCACTCAAGCACCCAGAAAAATATGTGCTGGCTGTGTCATATTTTAGGCAGTGTTTGGTGGAAAAGAGCAGCATTCATTTGACCGGCAAGCAAGAGCGAATCTGTGTGCCAGAGCAAAATATTGACACACTGCTAAATTGCAGTGAGGCTTTTTTTTGTGCCACAGATTCCACTTGAAGACAGACGATTCACTTGAAACTGCTCTAAATAACAGATGCTTGAAAAAGCATCAGCTATTACACTGAGCGCAAGGGATATCAACCTTCTATACAAAAGTTAGGCTGCACGTTGTGCATTACTGGCCAGGACGTAACTCTGGGGACGTACATGTGCTGTCCCCCGCGCAGCCGCCTTTTCTTCTGTCCTGACTGCCTGACCCATTTCCAGCTCTGAAGCTGAGCCTTACTAGGGTGGAGCATGAGGGTCTTTCCCGTTCCGGTGGCTGCACACATCGCATTGATTGTGGGAAAAAAAGGCTGGAGTGCACGTGCGCTGTGGGGTTGTTTCTGAAGATGCATCCCTCCCCATGACCTGCTTCCACAATGCCCTCAACCCATCCAGCGACAGCTGAAACAGCCTGTTCTGCCTGTGCTTTGCTCTGTACAGTCAGTGCAGGGGCTGTGCTTGGGGGGCTCAGTGTCTGTCCTTTGTGCTCACAAGCCCATGTAGGAAATTGGCAAAAACATTGCCATGTCGGCCCCTGCATTAACCCTTAGAAGTTGAGTTCCTGCTGTCATTTTGCTGTACTGTTTATATGTAAATTATTTAAGAGCTGTCAAATGATTAAAATAATTAATCATGATTAACCGCATTATTTTGTATAGTTATATGCTCAAATTTTACCAAAATTTTTCCATTGAAAGAAGCCTTGTGTTACAGCTATTTGAGTGGACAAATATGCTTTATCAGAATGCATTTTTTTATTAATTTAATAACATTTTCATCATGTAAATGGAGGGTTCATATCAGCCTGAACATGAAAATCACGTGATTTCCATAAAATTAACATAGTTTCTAATTTTCTTCACTGATGTCAGTGTTCCACTAATATTCCAACTCCTCCATGATTGTAACCGCTTGCTCTTGTGCTGCTACATCGTGTCTTGTTTCAAGGGGAATTATAGCTTTCAACTGCTATTCTTTTGTTAGTTTGCTGCTTGTTGATTTATCCATAGTTCTCATGTGAGCTCTGTCCAGCATAGTCTGCTGATGGTATCTTCTGGTGCTAAAGTTACTGACATTACTGGCTTTGCCAGCATCAGTTCCAAGGATCAAGCTACAAAAATGCGTTGTGTTGCCACATTTCGTTGCATTAATAATTAATTTTTTAACACATTATTAATGTGTTAACACCACTAGTACATACAGTTTTATTACAAATGACATTTTTATGTAAGAAACATTTACCTTCACATTTCCATATAGACAGGTGGCAAAAAGGTTATTTTGCAAAACAAGACTATATGCAAGACTATAACAGTAACATTTCATAAGGTTACAAACCTGATCACTATAAGGCTTTATTCACACATATTACTTCTCTGTGGTGTAAGCAACACAGCAGTGTGAGCGCTACAGCTTGAACGCGCTGGATTATACACACAGCGTTTGTGCTGCGGAGCAGACATTCCTTTTTCCAGATGGATTAATGGTCACATCGGTCACCCTGTTCAACAAAAATATGATTTATAAAAGTGCACAGTATATTTGTTTATCCTCAGCAGCATTCTGACTTGTGATTAGGCAAAAGTTTTAAGCCTGGTAGACCAACCGGGAAATCTGTTTGCAGCACGGAATGTTTGAGTAGTATTTCGTCATGAGTTAAATTAAAAACAAAATAACGCTTTTAAGTTTGTATATGGTTTTCTTTTAATTTTCACTGATTTTCATGGCTTATTTCAGTGTGTTTTGCTGTGTGAAGTGCACAGTGCACAGGAAAAATTTGTGGCGGGTCTATTCTCTAAGTACCGCGCCGCTTCAGTGAGGCATCTGGGATGCTCTGCTGCTTCGCACGCGCAGCCTGTATGAAAGCGTTGACTAATTAATTTGGGCGCCGAAATGAAAAGCGTGACTTTCCGTGTTGCTAACGCCACACAGACGCAGCATGTGTGAATCGGGGCTAAGACATCTTTTCTACCTATGAACACAAATGGGGTGTTAATTGAAAGTTTAAAACCTAAATATTCTACAAACATTTCTGTAGAAACTCATCTGAAAAATTACAGCTCACCTTGGTTGCCAGAGATGACAGCAACATAAGGGATAAATAAGGCCTAGTCAGTCTGCTTTGGATAGTTGGAACAGATTCATAAAGTTGTTCTTGTAGGTACTGCTGCTGTTTGAAAGCCATTGTTGTTGCACTACGCAAAAAAGTAAAAAAAAAAATAATAAAACCTGTCCTTCCAGACAAGGTGATTCCGTTGAGCTTTGTCAAAAAGTTAAAGGGATGGTGGAAGCCTGCTGCTTGAACTAGAGTCCTGCATTCACATTGAATGAAGCCCCCCAAACACCCCCCCCCGCTGCACCCTTGCAGTTTTTAGCAGACCTCTCAGATCTTGGTTGTCCCTGAAAGCTGGACTTCATCCATTATGCATGGGGCTTCGGTAGTTTTTTTCTGTCTTTGTGTGACTCTGCTGAGCCTCTCTTTCTCTCCCTCTCCATCTCCGCTTTCACCCAGACAGTAGATGAGGAGAAAGGTAGAGGTGGTGTGTGTGAAACAGGAAGGAGAATTCCAGCCAAATTCGCACCATGTCATCTCCTATAACATCGAACACGTTTCTTTGTAGCTCTGGGGTAAGAGATACAGACACTTTGGCGACAGCGTGGCAGAATGGCTTAGGATGTTGCCGTCTACATCAGAAGCAGCAAGGGGAGGTTTTTTTTGCTCTGCAACTGTGCCATTTGCCAGCATATGGTAAATGAATACAATTTAAATGGCTGGTAATCAAGCTGTCTCTTCTTATTTTTGCTCCATAGCCCTGATGAGAAATTAAGCTGGCTGGTTTGCCAGTGTATAAATGCTTTTCACATTCAGCTCCATTGAAGCAGCTGGAATTAGTAAGCCAGACCTCTGGTCAATATTTTTCATCATGTAGAGAATTTGCATCTCTGTGCAACAGCTGGGATGAAGCATTATCTGTCAGTCAGGTGAAACAGTTGCATTTGATTTTGACAAATGTTGGCAGTCACTGTACTTGACATTATAATATGATCTTCCAGATTGCATAGATTGGATATTGCATAGTACCAGGCTACCATCTTAACTGAATTTGTTGTTAAACTTGAGATTATGCTTGACTTGTGGTACAGAAGTCTTACTGCTAGTAAACGTCAACAGTTGCTGTTTAACCAAGCGACCTGGGTGCCTAAGTATAAAAGTGCCAAAGAGTAGCCCATGCAAAAGCACAGGGTCCATGTGGAAGTTTCTGACTCATTCAAATTTGTCTGTCTTGAGCCACCCAGGTAGTAAAAGCACAAGGAAGTTGTTACAGAGTTCGTGGCCCAGCGACTCACTGACCCACATGAATGCTTTTACTCGCAGCAGAAGGCCGTGCAGTCACTACATACTGATCTGGCACAGCGGGTAAGGGCGGGGGGTGATGGCTCGAGTTAAAGTGGATTGCTAAAGGCAAACGTTAAACTATTTTTATTGAAATGAACAAGATTTGGGAGGAAAAAATAAAAAAAGAACAAAGATTTTGATATTAGTAGCCATGTAGCCATTATTTCCTTAATCACTTTTAATAGTTGTTGATCCTGTTTCATGTATGCAAATGTAGCCTCAACACCCTTTACTAGGACAAAGGATGGCAGGTAGATTTTACCTTCTACATTTTTAGTAAATCACTTTTGTCAGCCATCACTGTTTACAGTAAATACAACCTTGATGGCATCTGCTGAGAAAAATCATGGTGCTGATTTGAATTTTTGTATATTGAAGTGTTGAAATATTTGTCCAAATATTCAGCACCTGGCTGCTCATGTTTGGTTCGGACGTCATTTTCAAAATGTGTGTCAGGCTCGGGTTGGTTTCCAATTTTACATGAAGATTCTCACAGCCTGCCTTCCACTTCTGATGGATTTTACCCTGCTTTTCCCCCGCTTGAATTTTACTCCTTGCTTTATTCTTCCTCCATACTTTTATTACCTTAAAATCAGTGTGAATCAGAACTCATTGTCGTATTTCAGAGTGAAAAAGAATACTCAGATGGGAAATAATTGTGGTGGAGACATGATTTCATTCTTCAGGATTTAATCGGAGTGTGAAAAGTGGGCGTCCCAAAAAAACATGTCAAGACTCTGTTTTGTTTTGCAGAAAAGCCAAAGAAAAAAAGTAAGAATAAACTTCTGTCAAAAAAAATGACAACAGTAGTAGTAAAAAAGTACAACAATATTGTGATTGTATATTTACTTTAATTCCTGAACCATGATTCAGGATTTACTGAAGCCTTGATTTAATGTGTATCATTTCTGCTTATAAGATGTAGAGAAGACGAAGCGCCAGTTAGCAGGCTAGTCTTTCAACATCCACGTTCGCTTTTCTTACACTTTCATGGCAAAAGCAACAGGAAAAGACTTAAGGAAAAAAGAAGTCAGGTTATTGTTGAAATACGTCGAAATAAATCTAACAAATCTAAAATGAGGAGAAGAAACGAGGTTGTCTGTACATCTAGCTGGGAGTCGAGGTGATGACTGGTCTTGTCACTCGATGATGGGCCAGGGTAGTGAGAGGGGAAGGAAAAGCAGGTTAAAGATATTATTGGTTAGTATAATTTTTGTCCACTTGTCCTCGCTTTCTCTGGGTGGATAGGATGGTCCCCCCCTTATCTCCCCCCAATTCACCCAGCGCAATGCTAGCCAGCGCAGGCGTCTATTAGCCGGCGTTACAGAATTTGCACTTGGCGCTTTCCTTTGAGTGCGTTCAGCTGTTTAATGACATTGTGTTAGTGGCAGTATGAAAAGATGCGGTGGTGCTTCACAGGTCTCGGAGGAAGCCCATGCTAGCTTTCACCCTTTTAGCGCTGGTGGTATCGTATGATTGGGGGAGTCCTAACTAGTGGGTGAAATTGAATTCGTCTAAATTAGAAAAATTGGGAAAAAGTATCATTGTTTTATATTCAATATGTTATATGTAATATATGTGTGTCTTTGATGAAAGATAGAGTTCTAGGATTAAACAGGTGCCAGTTATTGTCACTGCTATCAGCACTATGCTGTCAGGGTATATGCACCATTTTTTTTGGTGATGATGGGCCAGTTTGGGTCAATTTTGGACAGAATTTGGACAGACCACAGCAGCAGAATAAACCAAATGTTGATTTTTTGGGAGCCATGGATGCCAAATGTCTTGTTGTTGAATTCCAATAGAACTCAATATTACACAATAAAAATAAAAGAGTTTGGAGCATCCTCCTGCCTTTTTCCACCTTAAATAAACAGTTAACACTGCTAGAGCTCTCCTCTGATGATGGTCCATTTTCGTAACACTATTACCGTGCCAACATTTGCATGGCTTCATGCCGCTGTTGGCCATATATCACTATGAAAGAGCAGAACAGAGCAGAAAGCTATATACATACATGTCATAATTATGAATAATTATATCCACTTTACAGGCAATCTTCTTTGTTTATGGAAATTGAATTAGCAACCATGAAATCTGCCACTATTGTTTTTCTGTGCTGTGCATCAAAATAAAAGCCCCTAGCAGAAACTTTTCCCTGTACTTTATCAGCTTCGCAAGGGAAAAACTATTTCATACGGTTATATTATTAATTTTATGTCAGCTAAAAAGTTATAATAAAATTAAATTGGAATAATGTGATTAAATAGGAAATTAATAATAAGGGTGCTTCATTGTAAAAATCCTCAGTTTGAATGTCAGCTAACAAGACAAGCAGCACAACTCATGCTGGCTAATAACAAACGTCTGCAATTTGGAGTTATTTTACACTTGATACAGCTGCTAGTACCACAGCAACTTGTAATGTTTGCAAATCTAAAGTTTTGAGGGTAAAACTCACATTTTCTTTGAATGTTTAGATTTTACAACTTTATTGTTGCACTGAAAAGTTTACACTGGAATTATAATTACTTTTTATTTTGCTGTTGCGTTATACAAAAGCATAGTATTAACATTTTTTTGTAATATTTCATTCTTGTTTTTCATTTTTATTACTTTTCATTTTTATTACTCTTTGCTCTAGGTACAGCATCATGTTAGACACAGTAAGGGATACAGAATCTGTATCATAAGAGAAAAACTGGGATTGGTGCATCTCTACTTTAGCAGATTTTAATGCTTCCTAAGAGTAGTGGTTCACATCAGTGACACTGTGCATTCTTGTTCAGCCTGACAGCGAAGTTCTGATAGAAGAAGCTAATAATATTTATTTATTTTTAGCTTGCATAAAAGTGAATGGTGCTTTTGTATTTTTTGTTTTGGTATTTGCTTAAAAGGTTAGTTAAATTTCTAATTAAACATCACAAAAACAGTAAAAAAACATACTTTCAGCACATCCATTCAGAGGCACTCCATTTTAATTTATTTTATTTTATAATTTATCGCCTCATATAGTGCATTTATCGTATATTGTTATCCAGCTTTATCGATCATTGCATTTTCTGTCGTTGGCTTGTTGGCCCAAGTCCAGAGTTATCTATCTACCCTTGCCTATGTGTCTTCATCATGATTCCACATTGTGCTGTCTGTTTACTTGTTCTTTTCATCGTTTTGTCATGACAGTGCCATCGCAATGATATTAAAATATCCACCACCTCAGAGACAGTCTATTTTTAGAAATATCCAGCACACTGTGTACTGTGTTAAGTAAGTAGTAATTTATTAGCATTACTTGCATTAATTACCCACTAGCTAACACTGATGGATGGTCAGGCTGGAAATCCGTACATACCTCTCCATTTGGCCATTTTCTCAGGTACAGAGTCTTCAAAAAATTAAAGGTGTGTTGTGTGACACTTGTGTTCTTATCTCTTGTCAGGATATCGAGGCTCATGTCGCCTTTGTGATCACTGTCCCGACGGCGCTGGCCATTTTTCTCAGCATCTTTGTCCTGGTCTGCATCGAGTCTGTCTTCAAGAAGCTGCTGCGCGTCTTCTCCTTAGTGATCTGGGCCAGTCTGGTTGCCATGGGTTACCTGTTCATGTTTTTCGGAGGCATCATCTGTCCCTGGGATCAGGTAAGACGAGATCGTTATTGGGCCCCTGAGGTTGCTGTTTTCATTCATGGCCTCCTGCGTGAGGAGTCTTGTGAGAAACTTATTCATGAGGAAGCAGGTGGAGAGAAAACGCCCTAGGGTCGCTGAGGTGAATAAGTAGGATATTAAAATGGAGTGCTGTGTGGAAATTAAGTGGAAATATACAGTATAGAGCGAAATTAACAGACGCCGAGGGTACCAAGAGTGCAGCTATTATCTAAGAGGCTAAGCACAATCCATGCGGGTTTAGTGCACTTCATCCCTATTATTTTTGTCCTACATCCAGATATAGGATTTCTCTTTTTTGGTTCAGAGAGACTCAGATACATATAAGACTGTGTGCTATCTTTATTGTAAGATTCTCCTTGGTCCAGATGAGAGATTCTAAATGTAGTCCTATGACCAAATATCAAACATCCAGCATGGGCAAAATGATGCAGAATTGCATTGCACCATTGTACCATTGTCTGTTATGTGACATGACTTGATTAATCTCAATTCAAGACAGGATTTATGACTAGTTCGTAACCAGCTGTGCAATGTGCCCTCCTTGGCTAGGTCTGTATCCTTGTTTGCCAAGTAACATACAGGTTCTTAGGTGCCTGCATGTGGTGCAGTGGTCAGTGGTGAGTGTTATCCTCATACTGTATTTCATGGCTCTTGGATCAAAAGCCTTTTAAATCAGGTATATTGGAAGAAGCATGTGAACCCTGTGCAGTGATTGCCAGTGTCTTGTTGGCGGTAATAATGTAAACAGTAGGCCTATTTGGCAATAAGTAGGCCTGTTCAGCAATGAGAAAAACCTTGAATGTGTCATTTTTATCTACAGAAGGTGCAAAATTCTTTGATTTGACTGCCTTCTCCCTCCCATACAAGACATGCTGTCAAGCTAAGTGTGACAAAGATTGGATGTGACAGAGTTAAAAAAAGAAACTAATAAAGCTTTAAAGGGAATCCAAGCAGTGATACATCTTTATTGCAAAACACAGCTGCATTTTACCTCATCTGCTCTGTACACATGTTGTATTTTCCCTGCTCCTTATCTGATCTTAAGCTCATTAAGTGTACTGTATATGAATGAGTCCCCTGACACCTAAGCTGCCAGCACTGGTCCTCTGAGGATTCATATGTTCAATGTTAATCAAATTGTCATCAACTGTGAGAGGAGACTTGAGAATTCAGACAGTAACCAGAAGTGTGACCTGTCCATTACGTGCGCCTCTACCTCGATGACGAATGATGTATTCCATGAGGAATATGGTGTTGCTAGGCTGGCAGTGGCAAGAAGAGCTCAGAGTCTAATGCTGCAGGCGTAACCTGCGCCTCGGCCTTTTGACATATTGTACCTTTGGAACGGGTGGCATATGGTGAAAGACAAACAAGGCTAATGTCAGACATGGAAGGAGGGATGGCTTCCTGTGTCAGTCAATATCCCCGTTTGCTTCTGGATTAAGGAGCTTGCATGAATGGCTCTGAAGAGGTACAGGCACCAATCAGGTACGCTCTCATGGCTTGCGTGTGAGTTTGGATAAGTTGTTTGAGCAAATATCACATCAATATTAGTTAATTAAGACATCCACAGTATTGATAAAGAGCTCTCTTTGATCAAGCAGACCTGTAATCCGACAAGAAGAAAAGCATTGGTTCTTTTGTGAAAGAGATATGAGAATATGCTATCCTCATACCTCATATGCAAACCTCAGTTCCAAAAAAGTCAGGACAGTACATGAAATTGAACTAAAAGAAAGCAGTGATTTGAAAATCCAGTTCAAGACTAATTAGTTTGCCAATAATGTAATTAATTAACTTGCCAGTGGCGACTGGTAGCGATGTTGGATTATTATATTTTTTATGGGTAACTATTTATTTATTACAACATAACTTACAGCGTCACATGGATGCGTCCACCTTTAAAAAAAACGCCTGCGTGCTCGTAGGCTTTCGACTAGAGTGGCAAAACGTGACATCCAAACCAGCTGAGCTGAGCTGAGGTTTTTACAGGGAATGACTTTTTCACACAATCTATGTGTCTGTCATACCTTTAGAGGTTATCTGTTCAACCTCAGTCTGACTCAGTTAGCATCTACTGAACTACTGGAAGATGGACACATGCAAAAGTACAACCACAGAATGACATTTCAGAACTTCTTGGCTTCAGGAAATTCCGTGGCACAGGTTTGATAACATAAAGCAGATTGTGTTATGAATTCTGTTCAAAAGCAAGCAAACATATAGCTGGGAAAACCGATTTCTGAACAGAAACGAATCATTTTAAAAAAAGAGGAAAAACATGGCGAGAGTCAAAGGCATAAAAACGCACACGCTTTCATTATAGTAAAAAGTGCTCCTAAGGAAACTCCCTTAGCCCACTCAGTGTCTCGTGCATGCAAAAAAAGCAGAGGAAGAATTCAAAGAGTTCAAAATGAATTTCAGTGCAGCCTATGTGATAGCACGTGAAGAACTAAACGCCAGCACAGTCACCTCTAAAATCTTGTTAATGGAAAAAAAAAGGCTGGATGTGTTGAAGACATAGGATAATATGTTTGACAAGAATCAGGCACGCTGGAAGACAGATATACTTAAATCACAGAGCTGACCTGAGGTGAGTGTTGAAAAGCTTAATGGTTTGCATATTATTTGGCACTTAAAAAAAAAGGTATTGGCGCCTGTTTTTTTCTTTTAGGAGCCACTGGCTCCATGAGCTATTTTTTTGTCTGGAGTCCTGCATTTGTAAATCCACCATGACCTGTATTTAAACGGAAACAGTACAAAGACAAGAGAGATGTTTTACCTGATCAAATGTTTTTTGTAAATATATGTTCTTCCTGAAATTGATACCTGCAACATGTTCCCAGAAAGTCTGGGAAGGGGGCAATTTAGGACTAGGAAAGTTGTGAAAGGTACAAAAACATTTTGAACAATTGGTGCAGTCATGCTTGGATATAAAAGTAGCACCGGGAAAGGCCTATTCCTTCATGAGCAAGGATGGTTTGAGGCTCATCAATAATAAACACCATCCATCTCTGCATCCACAGAAGCCATATAGCGTCCAGAGACACCAGTGACTTCTCTGGGCTCGAGGTCATCTGAAATGGGCTGATGCACAGAGGAAACGTGTATTGTGAAATGTCTAGTCAACCTTTCAGATGGTTTATGGAAATAAAGAATAAAGTTCATAAGGGAAAACGATAAGTATTATTTTTTTCTACTGTTTTTAATTTTATGCAGGTCAAACAAAGAATTTGCCAATGCCTACCTTCTGTTATTTTTAGCATTTCCAATTGGAATTAAAATTTCTATATAATAGTTGAATTATCTTTTTTATATAAATCAGGACAGATTCTGCGGTACCACACAGTGCGAAAAAGGCATAAACACATCCAGAAGTAATACGTGCTTCTTGGCGTTAGTCTCTGTGCCTTCAACAATGTATTATCTTCTTGAAGGAAAGGAAGAGGCAGGGTTAAAAAAAAATCTGCATTGCATGCTATTAAGGGTTCATTTTTCTGAGCTAAGAGAGATGAGGAGGTTTCTTTGTTTGAGTCACTTTATTACTCCATTAGCTTTCCCTTTTGGTATTTTGTAATGCTTGGCTTTCAGGTCATTAATGTTTTACAATGACACTTCCAACAAACAACTGATATAGACTGGGAAAGCAATAAAAAAGCATTTAGTGTATTTTAGATTCATGCTTTTAAATTGGGACTACTTGTTATCAACAACTCTGATATACAAACAGCATCTGAGCTGCATCTCTTTTCACTTTTCTTCAATGTGGAGCACAGTTGAAAAACTGACTTTCCCAGGTAATTGTAATGTTGCTTTTGATTTAGTGTGGTATTGTTCAAAACGTCTGTCGTTAGTCTGTGTACGTTTAGCTGGTCAAGGTTTATGCATTAACTTCAGGTCTTCTTTAACAAATGCAGTCAGTGACCAATTGTCCAGACTGCTGTGCTCACCACCTTGTGCATAAAGGTGAGGTTGAACTCAGCTTGATGCATGCCCGAACGTCAAAGCTGTTTTTCTGCTCGAGTGGCCTGGCTCTTTTTTGAAAGCTAGCCTTTTGTGTAGCCTCCCTGCAACCCACCCCCTCCCCTTTCAGAAGTCCTGCAATTATTATCTCTGCTCCCTGACAGGGTCTGCAACTACCGATTAATTTTATGATCAGCTAATCTATAAACTATTTTTTGATTAATCGACTAATCTGGTGGATTGTTTCCTGTTTCAGTGGAAGAAAAAAAATTAAAGAATATAAAACTGGAATTTGAAAATTCACTGTTGAAATTGAATTTGTTTAAATTAAATAGCTTTTGTTTACTGTCATATTCATTTCTTAGTCGAAATTGTTGTTGAGTATAATTGAATGCAAGTTAAAAAAAATTACACAAAGGGCTTAAAACAAACTGTTAATGAAAAAACAAAAAATGACTCTATATTACTTCTTCATTCAGAATTTGTTGGCTATTTTCCTTTTTCTTCTCTATCTTATCACCTCACCTATTCTCTCGATTCTCACACTTGTTTTATCATTTATCTGTTTCCAGTTTTTCTTACTGTTTGTGATTCTGAGTGTTGCATATCTGTCGTGGCAAAGGTAGGATTAGGAAGAGAGTGGACTTCTGAACAATTTTGAATTTGAATTTGAACAAGTCGCTTCCCCTCCGCTACGTTCCAGCCCTGCCTCCAAAGCCCCTCCCCACAGAGGAGGCTGCCGTGCACGTGCTGTTAAGAACATCAACTAAACTCCACAGAGCTAGATATAATATAATCCATTTATATAATGTATTTGCGTTTCCTGAAGCCGCTCACTGAAGATACTGAGCTTGATCAAGTAAAAGCATACGGGAGCAGAGACAGTGAGCGGCGGAGGGGGGCTACCTGCAGCGTTTGCAGGAGCTATGATTGACACTCCGTCAGACACTCCTCCTATCTCTGATTAGTTGTATTGATTCAGTCTTGGTGGATTCTTGCAAATGGCATTA